AGCCCTCTCCAAAGAACAGCTCAAAAAAAATTTTTAAGAGGTCGCTCCAAATTTTTTAAAATTTTAAAAATCGTCAAAAATCGAAATTTTTTTTTTGTAATTTTTTTTCTCGTTACGTCATAATTTTATAGACAAAAAAAAAATAAGTTCCTGAAAGTTTTTATTTAAAATTGAAATTTTGAAAGGTCGCTCATAATTTTTTTTACATTTTAGAGTCAAAAAATGCTAATCCAATTAAAAAGTCACTAATAAATAAAAAAAAAATTATGAACGACCTTTTAAAATTCACATTTTGAACTGAAACTTTCAGGAAAACCTTTTTTTATTTGTTTATAAAATTATGACGTAACGAGAAAAAAAATTAAAAACAAAAAATTCGATTTTTGACGATTTTTGAAATTTACAAAAATTTGGAGCGACCTCTTAAAAATTTTTTTTTAAGGAAGTACGAGCGCCAAGCGGGGTGGGGATAGGTATCGACTCTAGCGCGGTAAGGGGAACGCAGTATCCATATGATTTTTTTCAATATATAGATATACATTTAACATAGGCTAGTGGCGGCATTTATTTTTCTTTTAATTAATACACTTTAATTAGTCGGGCAAGTGTAAATGTTTTTGAATTAAATTTATCACTAATATATTTACTTTCATCCATAAGTTTTTTAAAAATATTTACCGACAGTTTTACGAGAAAAATACAGAAATGTATCAATGTTTCAAGGTTACCCCATAAGACCAATGTTAAATTGCTCAACTTCAAAGTTAATTATTTATTTAAATGATCGGGCAATCTCCTTCAAATTTTCGGAATTTGTTTAGACATATTTAAACTTCATATTAAAAAAAAATCAAGCCTTTTATCAGAAGTTGCCTTGGTGCTCGTACTTCCTTAAGCTGTCCTTTGGAGAGAGCTCTTAAAACATCAAAAACTAACATTTTTTAACTCGAGATTAAAAAAAAAAAATAGTCGGTTTTTTTGCGCCACCCTAATATATATGTAATACAACCGACCTTGTCATCAGGAAATCTGCAAAAATTTTCAACCGATCTTGATGAAACTTGGTACACATATTTTTTGGATAATTATCTTGAACGAGTTCAAAGATGAGCAAAATCGGTCTATCAGTTTAGAAATGGCGGCCATTTAAAATTTTCAAAATAGTGAAAATCACGTTTTCGGTCACTTCATTAATGTATAACTTTTGATTAAAAAGAGATGGCTAATTTTTGAAAATTTCATGTGAAAGATCATAAAATTGCCTTTAATTTGACGTATATAACTTTGATTGACTTTTTTTTTTCTTTTTTATTTTCAATATTATCTAATTAAAATTAAATATTTTTTATTAACTTAATTTCTTTACTTATTGATGATCAAAATATTCATATCACCATGAATCTAGACATAACGATTGATCATTTATTATTAAAAAATTATAACTGGATTTCGCTCATCTTCAAACTAGTCGAAGATAATTATCCAAATAGTCAATATACCAAGAAAACTTTTGCAAAACTTCTTTATTGTAATTAATTTTAAAATTTAGTTTTCTACGAATTACAATAACGAAAATAAGAGAATTTTATATCAAATAAAATCTACCGAAATAGATTTCGGGTTAGGTCGAACGGCAGTTTTTTAACACTACTAACACTTTTTTAGTTCAAGTTTAATTAATCTCTTTCAATAATTCGCCAGCAATCCTAATATACCTGTATAATACAATTATAAAAAAAGTAATCACTATCGTTAAATTTTACGGATTATAATAGATAGCAACGCCCCTTAGTTAGTCAAAAAAATTTAACACAAACATAAATTAGGTTCAATTTGGTAACTTTTAAGTAAATTTCATAGAAATCTAACTATTGCATTTGTCCTCATGACAGTACTTTTGTCAATTTTTTAAACAACTTGAAAAAAATAATAAAACTGAATATTTAAAGCAATGAATAGATTGAAATCAAGAGAGCCAACTCGTCAACTGCCAGTGAAAATTATCACATACAGATAAATAATTAATGAAAAAAATAAATATATGTAAGATAAAAGACCCAGTTATTGACATTGGCCTAGTTGTTTGATACTTGCAATTTTATTCTAATTAAAAAAATAAAATATTTTCAAAAAACCAATTATCTTAAAATTTATAATTAACAAATTATATTTATTAATTTATTAGAGTTGATTTTTTTTTAATAATAATAAAATGGCACGTGTCAATAACTGGGTCTTTTACCTTATAAAATAAATAAAACGAAAATACCTAGAAATCGTTTCCCAAGAGATACCCGATTTTTTATTCCAATTGAGTTAGTTATTGCATCAAGATAAATGGAAAAGTTCAAGTAATAATTTATGCAAAAAATTAAAGAATTTTAAAAGTTATAAAATGTGACCGATGATATAAATAATAATAAAAAAATATTTATATCATAACGCCAAGTAAATCAAAATCAAACGAGACGTTCAAAAGTTATAGTCATTTAAAAGTTTCTAAATAATTGTTTTTTTGATATAAAATCAACCAATAGGAAGATTTTCAAGCGTTTCAATCTCGAAAAAAGCGGAAAGTTCCAGAGATGGCCTGCCGGTCAACCGTTTTTCAGGTTTTTTTAGTGAGGTTCTTTCTACTTATGAAAATTATTTGATTAATTGAAAATTCTTAAAATTTGTTACTCTCGGACGATTTAATATTAAGAGCAAAAATTTTGAGTCATTTTTTTTTTTATTGTAGAAATCACGCTTAAAAAAGATATTATTTGGTGAAAAGATCAATAAACCTTTTTTTTTTTTTTTTTAAATAAAATTTACCTTCAATAAATCCACAAGTTTTTGTTCTCTCTCAGTGTTGTAACCTTTTGAAGAATCTTGCAACTTTTCTTCTTTTAACAAAAGGCCTTGAAGTGTATTTACTTTTGATCTCGAATCTTCTAATTTTTCTGTTTGTCTACAAAGGGATTCAAGAAGTACTCCCTTTTCCTCGGTAAGTCTTTCGTTGTCAGTTTGAAGCTCTGTTAGTTGAGCTTGTAAATCACTCAATTCCTGTATAGTTGCTTGTAACTCTTCATTGGTTGAATAATGAGTTTCTTCCATTTGGAGGATTCTATCTTGAAGACAAGCAACAGATATTTCAGAAAAGGAACTAGAAGAATGTTTATCCCATTCAGGAGTGATACATCTTGGTTCATCAGATGTAGTGTTTGTTGTTGATGCACCGATATCGTTATGAGCCATTGAAATAGAAATAGAAGTTGAGCTATGTAATCTGGAAGCGTCCAGCAATAATTGTTGTTTTTCAGAATCTGATAATGGAGAATGAGCAACATCACGAAGACGAGCATGTAAAGCTTGATTATCTTGGGTTAACCTCTCTACTTCTAAACTGTGTTGTTCCTATAAAGTACGGAAACAATTATACATCATTTTTCACAATATGCCATAAAAAAACACCAATCTTATTGTATGTAAGTTACCCTTATTTAAAAAAAACAATTTAAAATAATATGTAACAATTCAAAATGATTTGAGTTGACTACTATAGTGATATGCACTTAGCATGGATTGAATAATTTTAAATTGTTTTTGTTAACAAGGGTATGAAGCTTATGCAAAAAATGTTATAAAATCTAATGATTCGGGGTTATGTTCTTTTAAATCGTCCTTAAAAGGATGAAATGATTAAAACTGCATTAATTACTTAAAATAAACATAAATTTAAAATGAAGTATTTACTAATAAAGATAATCAAAGTTTCAATTTAATTTACCGTTACGATAGGTGATAAATAAAGTTTTTTCATTTCGCCCACATTTACAACACACTATTAATTCCATTGGTGATGTGATATATCTATATATTTATACGATATACCCATATGTATGAGTACAAGTATTAACTATATCTATATCTATAAATCAAAAGAGACTAACCCTCTGATGTGAATGGACGTTATCCCCACTCTGTCTCATTTTAACGGCAAAAGCGTTTCCCCACTCAGGATGCATACATAAGTGTACAATATAGGCCGACTTTCACGTCAAAAGTCCGTGCTCAACCGGTAAATAGCTTTAGGGCTTATTATGCCATAACTATAGTTTCTTTATGGCGGGGGCTGGAAATAGGTAGGGGGCTGGTGACTTTACCCTAATTTATCATAAAATTTCTCTATCATTTTATTTTCAAATTAATCAAATTTATAAGATTAAAAATCTCTGTCAACTAATTCAAATTGGATCAAAATTATTTAAATAATTAAAAAATTATTTTTTTGATTTTATAATTTTCAAAATAATTGATTACTCAAATCTGCACAATTTAAATATTCAATAAAAATTTAATGCACTTAATTTTTTTTTTTTTTTTTCATCAAAGATTTATGAATTTGAAAAATAAGAAAAATTTAATTAAATTTTAATTTCAAAACTCCAGCGCTTCAACACTCACAGTAAATTCAGTGCATGCAACTTTATGACAGATACTATAGTAAATTTATAAATTTACATATACTTATTTTACATAGAGATGTTGACGCATGGATTTATTTTAAACCTGAAATATTTTTTCACGGACTTAATCTCGAATAGATTTGTATATACATGGACTTATTTTTGCATATAATTATTGTCAAATAGACAAATTTTTTCCCATACAAATATTCCCCTAAAAAAGATATTCAATAGAAATGTCTAACATGGAGTTCTTTACATAGAGATATTTTCGTGGACGTTTGTTATTGTGTACGGGAGAAATACATATCGCCGACTGTAAATTCAACAAAAATTACCAAAAAAATTTTTGTGCCACTTAAAATGTATTTTTATGCTTATCATATGTTTGACTAATCACATTGCGAATAAATTGGCTTCACGTATATTTGATCTCAATTTTATGTTGGGATTACAAATCCAATTAAATAATTCACATTATAGTGATTTTGTCGCGTAATGTATCAACAACGACATCTATTATGTCATCGGGTACAACATAGTACTGAGCAGATGGACGTCTACAGTCGGAAGTCGGAAGTCAAGTTTATCAGTTCTGCAGAACTTGCAAAACTTGTCACAAACTGGTATGCACGCATCTCCAATTTTTGTCTGTGTTCGTGAGTATCTCAATTTCAAGCGAGTTTATTTTTGAGTTGTTAACGGCATCATTTTTACAATTAAATAAATAAATTACTAAAAAATCGATTCATCAAAATATTCGAATTTACAAACTTTTAGGGCCAGTTTTTCTACCCCGGGTTTAAGTATTTTATCATTGTGAGTACATCTATATATAATATAGATATATAGATATATCCACAATGATAAAATACTTAAACCCGGTGTTGAAAAACTGGCCATTAGGGTTGTTATGTCCTTCTCCTGGTGGACAACGATAGAAATCTTTATTTAAATTTAAAGTTACCGACGTAGTCTTTGATTCGCCCGGGAATATAGAAATACTCAACTTTATCAACGGGAATTTATAGGATGAGGAAGATGTTAATATGTGAATATTAATTAAATAAATAATTGGACGGAATTAGATTAACTAAATTGAAGTATGTATTCAAAAGACTTTACAAAAAATTAGAAAACGAGGTGATAAGTCTGAGCTCGAATACTATTCTGAATATTCTCAAATATGTCTAAGTTCGACTTATATCACTAGAAGTGGCGGGGGCAACTCTCCCTACTATCTGAGTATTCCGTTGTACTGGACTTTTGGCAACGTTGATTGGTCCTTCTCCTTCCTACTGGGTCCTACCCTGATAGCCAGCGCTTTCTCAGTAAGCGTTGACTTCCAGCAGTTACGGTTAATTTATACATCAAGTTGGCGGTAATTCTTCACTCAACAACAGTTGTAAGCAAATTGACGGAAATCTACGGCCGCAACTTGAATACAAGTTAGCAATCAAACTTGTAGTTAAATTTCCTTTCAACTTTACTACAATTTGACGGAAATACTTGTACAGCAAGTTTTGACGTCTATTTGGAGAGTAAGTTATAGGTAACTAATAGGTAATCGCTCGCTTTGCCAACTCTTTCCGTCAAGTTTGCTTCAAATTGCGGACGTAGATTCCTTGATAGCCAAACCGGCCGCAACTTTCCGTTGATTTGCTGCAGCAACTTGTCACCAAGTTGGCGGCAAGTCTTGGAAATGAACTCTGTTGTTCACCAAGTTGTCGCCAAGTTGTCGGCAGAAATTGATTTCGAAACTCTTTCGCACCAAGTTGACGACAACCCTGATAGCCAGCGCTTTCTCAGTAAACGTTGACTTCCAGCAGTTACGGTTAATTTATACATCAAGTTGGCGGTAATTCTTCACTCAACAACAGTTGTAAGCAAATTGACGGAAATCTACGGCCGCAACTTGAATACAAGTTAACAATCAAACTTGTAGTTAAATTTCCTTTCAACTTTACTACAATTTGACGGAAATACTTGTACAGCAAGTTTTAACGTCTATTTGGAGAGTAAGTTATAGGTAACTAATAGGTAATCGCTCGCTTGGCCAAGTCTTTCCGTCAAATTTGTTTCAAATTGCGGACGTAGATTGACAGTAACCCTGATAGCCACACTTACTATAAAAATACTTGTAGTATAGCAAGTTTAGTCAAAGTTAACGTTAAGTTCACTCCAAAACTTGTACAGTAAAAGTTATATACAATTTGTGTTGAAGTTGTATAGTAACTTGACGTTAATCTACTGCCGCAATTTCAATATCCAAGTTTTAACCAACTTTTAATATGATACTAATGTTAGCCGACGTTTAAAAATTTTTCTATTTTTTT